TTGAAAAGTTTCTCCTTAAATGCACTTTGGGTTATTTCTGCGCTTTTCACATCCTCAGTTAAAGTTTCCAAGTTTTCAGACGACGTTATAATTCAACGTTAATGCTCAATGAACGAGATTATAAATTTTGCAAGATGGATAATTAATGTTTCCATTTTAATTATAATGACCGATAACAACCCACGTAAATATACATTATGTAACTCGCTTATCTTATCGGGAAAATATTTCTGAATTACAACAGCTGTTTGATAATTTTTCGATAAGGAATCTAAATAAATTAAGCAAGTGAAGCAGAATGAAAATAAATCTCCATCAGGAAGTAGAAATAATACTATATTTTTTTATATAAAAATATAATCAATGTACATAATTTATATTTCATTTTAATTTTTAGTATAAGAATATTTACATTTCTGTTTTTGAAAAATATATATTTTTTAAATATTGCGATAAAAAACTGCGCTTAACAACTATGACTAGCTGATTGTACAGCAATGATTGTTTGCAATGAGGTAGATAGACAATAAACAACGGAATATGTACCATATAATTAAAAAAATAATAATAATAAACAAACAATAATTGTGGAAAGGCGTTGGTCGCGTTCACTTCGTCACATAAATAATAATATCACACCTGCGAGTAGCTAAAAGAACGAAATGTACGCATACCGACCTGTTTCATTTTCTATTTTCACTTTTAAAGCTTTGTACTTCGGTGACGACAGGATTCTTGCATACGACTATAAAAAATAATAACAAAACTAAACCCATATTTTAAACACTGAGTTGTTCAAAACGATTTAAAACGTGTAGTTCTATTAATTTGTGCGTTTTTAATTTTATACAGCAAAAAGTTATTTACACGAATTAGTAATAAACGGACTCAAAATGAAAATTATAGTTTGGTTTGTTAAGTACTAACAAATTATTTTTTAAAAATCAACTTAAAACTTTTTTATCAATTTATCTGATTAAAATGTTTCTGAATTTATTAAATAAAAATAAATATTAATTCTAAAGTACATCCTTAACGATTATGCGTAAACATAGAAATAATTTCGTATAGCACCATTAAAACTAAAAAAGAAAACACTCATCGTGTGTGGTCGAATCTTATAGAAGAAAACCCTGTACATACATATAAACTTCTTAAAATCATCAAGGTAACAGATCATTATAGAAACTTCCAATAAACTTTTTAATGCCTGTAGGGAGAGATTCATTTAAAACCTAATAAAAATAACAACGCAAAATAATCCTTAAAACGTACATAATAAAAAAAAATTAAATTCTAAACGAAAAATATTTGACAAGATTAGGTAAAATATCAAAAAAGAAAACGAATTAAATTTGAATGCAAAGTAAGTCCCTAACTATTAAAAGCGTAAAACAATTTTCTCTCCCTAAGGAATAAAAGTAACACTAAAGTTTTATAAATACTTAAATAACACTCTTTCAAAATTGTTAACGTTTTAAAATTTTAAAGTTCAATAAAACAATTTTTTTATTACTTATGTAATTTCTTAGTTATGTAGGATATCCCAGAATTATAGCAACAAATTTATTACTTTTAGATTAATATAGGCATTAATTACATATTAATCATACAAAATCATTTAGGTTTGTGTATCACACACTCATTATTAATTATCAACAAACATACAAAAGTGATCCTGAAATGAGCAAAAAAAGTATGATAAAGCTTTGTGGGTAGGATTATTCAGGTTTTAACGTAGATATCAGATTATTAAAGTTCATTTTTAGAAAGTTTTTGTGATTAACCAAATTAGCGCTATTCGTTGGCAAATGTTTTTGGGTTTCGTAAGTTCATAAGACTTCTCAATTGAACATGCAAAGCAGTATCATACAAATATTTTCCAATATCAACAAATTTAAAGAACTTGTTTAGTGGTGTAATTCTGGGACCCTATATTTATTTATATTTTTAACTACAGTGTGTCCCTGGATAGGTGAACGACTCTTATAAGGTAAAATTTTTTAGATATTAATTGTCATTTTTTGTGGTTTAGCCCTGCTTGATTAAAGACTAATTTTGAACATATTTTCAATTTTTAAAAAAGAAGTGAACCTTGACAGTGAAAGAAAAACGCTTTTTGTGGCAGGTAAAGTACCTTTTCTGTTTACAGCACGTGAAAGTGTTACTAAGAAGTTTTGTTCAGAATGAAAAACTATGGCCATATGCATATTTTCGGAATGATCGGCCTACTTTGAAAAAATCCATATCAAACAATTTTATTTTTAACAAAGACTCCTATGGAAAAACAAAATTGCTTTCCTGTTACTGTTAATCTGTCAAACTGTAATTTGGTAAATATGATAAATATGATTATTGCTTTATTTAGTGAACAATTTCCAAATACTGGAATTAAAAGAAGTATTTGTTGGCGTTTAATCAAAAGATTTCTTACAGCAGGAAGTATTCACTCTAAGAAAAAAAATTATGATAAAACTGATTAACTGTTTTCTTTTGTGGGCGAACACACACTTAATTTTTTGTGAGCATTTTAAGAACGGTTTGTTTATTTCTCCTGAATAATCTGAATCTCAAAACAAAAAATCCTAATAAAGTACTATTGACGAAAATAATAAACAATGGGTTTTATCAAAATACGCCGATGATTCCGAAAATTTGCAGATGATCATAACTTTTCATTCTAAATAGAATTTCTTAGTAACATTTTACCATACTGTAAATAGAACCTGACACACAAGAAGTTTTCGCTTCAGTGTCAACACACCCTTATTTTTTAAAATTTGATGTTCAAAGTTAGTCTTTAACCAAGCAGGGCTGAACCCTAAAAGATGACAATTAGTATAGACAAAATTTTACATTTTATAAGAGTCGTTTCACCTATCTGGGGACACACTGTATACAGTGAATTTTACTTAAAATGCAATATACAAAAATATATTTCCATAAAAACCCATTTACTTTGTCCCACATAAAATGTAACATGTCTGAATGTTTCTATTGTGTGTTCTAATTTTAATCGTTATGCAGCACTAGACCAAGAACCATTCGGGTTTAGCAGTCTTAAGAGACGTAAGGCTAAACCCGAAACATTCTAGTTCTAGGTCTAGTGTTAGTTCTAGTTTTAGTCGTTATGCAGTGCTAGACCAAGAACTAGAATCATTCGGGTTTAGCCATCTTTACAGACGTGCGGCTAAATCCGAATGTTTCTAGTTCACGGTTTAGTGTTAGTTCTAGTATTGCACTAGCATTATCACTAGAACTAACACAAGAACTAGAATCATTCAGGTTTAGCCGTCTTTAGAGACGTGAGGCTAAATCCGAATGTTTCTAGTTCTCGATCTAGTTAGTTCTAGTTTTACACAAGCACTATTACTAGAACTAACACGAGACCTAGAACAAGAATCATTCGGGTTTAGCCGTCTTGAGAGACTTGCGGCTAAATCCGAATGTTTCTAGTTCACGGTCTAGTGTTAGTTTTAGTATTGCACAAGCACTATCACTAGAACTAACACAAGATCTAGAACAAGAATCATTCGGGTTTAGCTGTCTTGAGAGACTTGCGGCTAAATCCGAATGTTTCTAGTTCTCGGTTTAGTGTTAGTTCTAGTATTGCACTAGCATTATCACTAGACCTAACACAAGAACTAGAATCATTCGGGTTTAGCCGTCTTTAGAGACGTGCGGCTAAATCCGAATGTTTCTAGTTCTCGGTCTAGTTAATTCTAGTTTTACACTAGCACTATCACTAGAACTAACATGAGACCTAGAACAAGAATCATTCGGGTTTAGCCGTCTTGAGAGACTTGCAGCTAAATCCAAATGTTTCTAGTTCGCGGTTGAGTGTTAGTTCTAGTATTGCACTAGCAATATCACTAGAACTTACACAAGAACTAGAAACATTCGGATTTTGCCGTCTTGAGAGACTTGCGGCTAAATCCGAATGTTTTTAGTTCTCGGTCTAGTTAGTTCTAGTATTGCACAAGCACTATCACTAGAACTAACTCAAAACCTAGAATAAGAATCATTCGGGTTTAGCCGTCTTGAGACTAAATCCGAATGTTTCTAGTTCTCGGTGTAGTGTTAGTTCTAGTATTGGACTAGCATTATTACTAGAATTAACACAAGAACTAGAATCATTCGGGTTTAGCCGTCTTGAGAGACTTGCGGCTAAATCCGAATGTTTCTAGTTCTCGGTCCAGTTAGTTCTAGTTTTACACTAGCATTATCACTAGAACTAACACAAGACTTAGAACAAGAATCATTCGGGTTTAGCCGTCTTGAGAGACTTGCGGCTAAATCCGAATGTTTCTAGTTCTCGGTTTAGTGTTAGTTCTAGTATTGCACTAGCATTATCACTAGAACTAACACAAGAACTAGAATCATTCGGGTTTAGCCGTCTTTAGAGACGTGCGGCTAAATCCGAATGTTTCTAGTTCTCGGTTTAGTGTTAGTTCTAGTATTGCACTAGCATTATCACTAGAACTAACACAAGAACTAGAATCATTCGGGTTTAGCCGTCTTGAAAGACGTGCGGCTAAATCCGAATGTTTCTAGTTCACGCTCTAGTGTTAGTTCTGGGTATGCATAAGCACTATCACTAGAACTAGCATTTAGCCATGCGTCTCTTAAGACGGTTAAACCTGAATGTTTCTACTTCTAGATCTAATGTTAGTTCTAGTGACAGTGGTAGGTAGATATTACTATGTTGCATATTTTTATTGCACTAAAACTAGAACTAACACTAGAACCAACACAAGACCTAGAAATGAAATTATTCGGGTTTAGCCGTCTTGACAGATATACGACTAACACTAGAGCTAGAACTAACACTAGAACTAGAACCAAAAATATTCTGGTTTAGCCGTGCGTCTCTTAAGACGTCCGAAAACTCGGTGTTATCATAAGGACATCACTTTTTTGGCAAGCAAAACTTTTCCTTTGCAAAACTACCCAATGCATAACTATGGTTATTGCATTCATATATTGCAAGTTATATGAAATACACTGTATATTAATAATCAACAAACGAGATTATTTTTAAACAAATTCTACTTTGGAATATGAACCGGTTCTTTTAGATAAAAAAGTAACGAAAAAACAATTTTTTTAAATGCAATTTTTAGATAATGTAACGATATAAAAATGCCGAAAATAAGAAAAAATGTAAAACAAAATTTTTCGTATTATTTACCTCCCCACGATTTAATAATAAATAATAAGATAAAAAATTGTCATTGTTGTGGAGGTGATTGAAATGTCTTACTAAACGCTGGTAAAGGCATATTTTCCCTGGATTCTTCGTTAGGTAAAGATAATATATCCGGTATCCCAATAACACTATCTTCTACCATAAAAGAAGGTTCAGCGGTTCCGGCGATGTTCAAATCCCCTAAAACTTCTTCAACGGATTGTTGTGGTAAAAATGAAACCGGATCAGAATCGGCTCCAAGAAATGTATGAAGTACCTCGTCTTCGGGGGATTTGGGCTCATCAATTTCGAATTTTATAACAATGTCTCGATTCGCAGAGTCTTCTGTATTTTCAACCGGACAATTTCTCGAGTGAGATTTTTTAATGTGACGAACGAGATGGTCTTTTCTACCGAAACGTTGCGGACAAAATTGGCACAAAAAATCCCTCATTCCAGTATGAACTACAAGATGTCTACGGACATCTTTTCGCGTAAAAAATCGTCGGTCGCAATACTCGCAAGTAAATTTTTTTTCGTTCGGACTTTTCACGGTTCGTGATCCTGCGTGTATTTTTAAATGATACAAAATTTCATCTTTCGTTTCGAACTTTTGCGAACAAATTAAACAATTCAAATTTCCTTCTTCAGCTCCGTGCAACGCTAAATGTTTTTTATAATTCAACAAAGATGTGTATTCTTTTTTACAACCGGTTTTATCGCAAACGTAAATTTTTTTACTAGGACTGTGCACTTTGATATGGTTTTTTAAATGATCTTTTCGATGAAACGTTCGTTCACAAACCGTACAACTAAACTGCTTTCGATCGGAATGAATAAGAACGTGCCGTACTAATTTGAATCGCGACGAAAAACTTTTCTTGCAATGTTCGCATTTAAACGGCGACGAACCACCGTGAATCTGTTGATGTTTCGCAAGACTCGCCGGATTTTGAAACGTCTTCTGGCAGTGTTGGCAGGAGAAAGACTTTTTTGGATTCGACGTCACCTTTTTTCGTTTCAAATTTACCTTCGAACTGGATCGCGTCTTCGGTGTTTGTAAACCAGACGGGCCAGGTTCGTCCAAATTTGGGAATGTTTTTGAAGGCTCTGCAACTTTCGATTCGGCACTACTTGTTTCGTAGTACTTTATTTGAGGATAAAAATCCTCCACGTGAGCCTGCTCCAAACCTACAGCAAACGACGTTAAGGAATATTCTGGTAGATTTGTTAAAACTGTCATGGTGACTTTTTCAATCTCCTTTTTTTCTTCGGAACTTTCTTTTTCATCGTTTGATTCTACCTTACACACATTATCCTTATCGCCTGGTGTTCCCATGGCGATAACAATCGGGCCAACATCATCTATAAATATAAAAAGATAAAATTTTAAATTAAAAATAAAATTGTGAGATTATTATTATTTAATAGTAGTAATAGAAATTAATGCGAAAGTTTTGAAAAGAAGTAAATGAGAGAACTAATAATGTACTGGAAAAAATTTTATTTTCTTAATTTTAGCATCTAATTTTACAATTTCAGTTATTAGAGTATTCATTTCAATTATTGCACCATTTGTCCAACAATATCAGATTTTCTTTTAAAATTGGTGCTCTTTCCTAGATTAAAACTGGGAATTCAACTCAAAAAGACTTTTTAAAGCGAATTACCTATTCGCAAATTAAATATTTTGCTAACAGAACGATTTCAAGATCATAATTCGTCGAACCAGCTTATTCATAAATAACTATTTTAGCGATTTGTAACTGCTGTAATGTCTATAAAGAAACCAGTTGATACCCTTCTTCTTATACTAATAGAATTAATGACGATCTGAAGTCATTGGATAAATTCTCAAGGAATCACTCTTTAATTGTAAATCCCACCAAGTCCGTCGCTATTATTTTTGCAAGATCACAAGTCCGAACGCAACTTAAAAATGAACTTAATTTGGTTATGGGAAATAGGAAAATTGAGTTCTGCGATAATGCTCGCGACTTGGGACTTATATTAGATTAGAGACTGTACGGTAGCAGATCAGTTCTCGATCAAGCTAACCATATAATGTTATGTGATGCCCTGGTTTTGTCGCATTTTAACTATGGTAGCGTGGTGTATGGCCCTTGTTTATCTGCGACTGTCGCTGCAAGGATACAAAGAGTCCAAAACGCGTGTGTGAGGTTTGTGTGTGGTTTGCGAAGGCGTGATCATGTATCGTCCAAGCTGGGTGAAATTGAATGGTTGAATATGGTTAATCGTCGAAAATTGGGATACGCTATGTTCTGTCGAAGAATTATCGAATCTAAGAAACCATTTTATTTATATAGTAGGATCGAATTCCGTAGAGATGCTCATACTGTCAATTTGCGAAATAAAAATTTGATTGCACCTCCGATACATAGAACTACTCTGTATGAAAGATCTTTCTCATATCAGATATCAAAAATATGGAACGGTCTCCCGGTTGGTCCCTATTGCAGCTTAGCTACTTTTAGAAGTCGTTATCGTCTAACCATCTATTGCAGAGTCAGGGTGTAGAGCACGTGTAGCGAGCGGAAGTCGCCCTGTGACGCGGCATTATTTTGTTTTGTTACCCATAAAATTTTATTTTGATAAGTGAAGCTCAGGTCAAGTGGAAGAACAGATCATCCATCTCAGGATGGATGACCTGAACTTCGCCTTTTGCCCATTTTTTTTTTCTATTATAGGTATTTTCTATTTGTTTTTTTTGTAACTGTCTTTATGTTTTAATTGTAATTATATTATCTTTTTTGTATTTGTATGGGCAATAAAGTCATTATTATTATTATTATTATTATTATCTATTGATTTAGTGTTAATTTACATATAATCATTTGTAATGTATCCTAAAAAGTGTGTCAAAAATTAGTTGCACAATACTTGATGGTAGGAACATTTCCAACAGCACAAGAGAACTTCAATACATCTCAACATCCCGCTTTGTGTCTTCTTGCAAACCGAGCGTTTCGTGTAGAAACTGTCATAATACGCAAGAAGAAGCACGGAAGATGCTTCTTCAAGGCATAAATTTCGGGTAATTCATGTAATCCAAGCCGTCCAGAAAGAAGAATAATCCATTACTTGGTTGCCCCGATAAAAAACATAATATACAGGGTGATTCACATAAGAACCGACATAGAGCAGGGACATGTAGAGGACAGTAAATTAAGATGATTTATACATGTCCCTGCTCTGTGTCGATTTTTATGTGAATCACCCTGTATATGAAGCCTACGATGGATTAGGTCACAAACAAAAACAGCAAACAGCAGTGTAGCCGCAATCTAGCAGTGTAGTGCGTCAAATACTACATCATTAAGATGCTTTCTTAGATAGATGAAAACTTATAACAGAAACTCAACAGAATGTATGTAAAGAAATTCAGATCAAATTCAGTTAGAACATCAGTGTTGCCAACTCTACTAACTTTTCGGTAGATCTACCAACTTTTAGTGTCTTTCTCAAATTTACTACCTTGTAAGAAATATCTACCAACTTTTTAAGATTAAAAAAAAAAGAAAAAAATTGAAAAATTTTAATACCTTGTTTTTTTCACCAGTTGCTGTGTTTTTCCCTTTTATGATAAGCGAATCTAGTAGATAATAAAGAAAGTTACAGGTTTCTGCCGTCTCTACCGACTTAACCTAACAAAAGCTGTCATTTTACCATTTACTATTAAGAAACACGACTCTTCCTTTTACAATTGAGAAAAATATTAGAGTTGAAGACTTCTGGCATGATATTTCTCTAATGAAAAAAGGCGATACACAACTGTATCCTTTATTAAGCCAATTTGTGAGGAAATTACTTGCACTTCCACACAGCAGTGCGAATGTGGAAAGACTGTTTACTGCAGTTTACTGTCGTTAATTTATTAAAAACTTGCAATAGAAACAAATTGTCCACTGATACATTGCAAGGACTGCTACATACAAAACGATTTATCAACTTACAAGAACAACCTACTGAAGACCACTATAAATTATTCAATCAAAACATGTATTCTTTTAAAGAATTTACATTTACTTTACTTTTTTCTTATTTTTATCCTGAAAAACTGCAAGATCCTCGAGTAGGCAAGGTTGTTAAGTATTGGTTATAAGCTTATTCCACTTTTTCTAATTACCATAGAAACTCTCCTCAAGTTGCTGAAGTAACTAATGTTACAAAATTAATTCTTTTAGACTAATCAACTTAAATTAATATATAAATTCCCTATTTTAAAATGAATAATTAAATAAAACTAATTATTTTTACATAAAATGAAATAAAATTTAGATATATTTATAGTATATTTTCAGTATAACATCTAATATTAGAAACAGTAAAAATTATGCAACTTATATTGCTCTGCTCTAGTAACATCTAAAAGTAGTGAAACCACTACTTTCCATAGTGTGATTAATTGGAAACTACCAACTTTTAGAATGTATCTACCTCCTAGACATATTTTGAGTTGGCAACGCTGTAGAACATAGACTTACTACACTAGACCCAAACACTGCCCAAGGTTTATATATAAGAGGTTGTCTAGGTTCGTACGCAACCATACTGCGCATTACGTCACATGTGGAAAATAATACCACCAAGCAATTCAAATTAAACAAAGGCATGGAGCACCACATGGCCATGAGGTTGCGTGCGCAATCCGTGATCGCTTACGTCACGAAACACTCCTGCTCTTGCCCCTCGCCCACAAACTAAAATCAAAGTATTGCAGCATAGGAACTTAGACAACCTTTAATATATAAACCTTGGACCGCGCCTCCCTAGTAGCTGCTATAAGAGCGTGTGTTGCCAAGATAGGTAGGCAACCCGTAGTCCAAGGAGGGGGCAGAAAAGCGAATGTAGCATTCAAGGCAATTCAAAATAGAATTGCAAACGCACGCAATTTGCAGAAGTGGATGCTTCAATTTCCGTTTTCAATAAAAGCCTCTTGTAGGCACCTTCAAATTCTTTCGCTGTGGGATTGTTATTGAATCCATCTCTTGATCTGATAGCCGAAAAAAACATCTCGATGTGATCTTGGCTTACTTTGTACGTTAGGAAGTAGTCCATGAGGTTTTGTTAGACCAAATCTTCGAATAAGTTTTGTATGCTTAGGATAGATATGATCAAGCCTAGGAGCCAGTTTTTCTACGAGTGGTTACGATACATTCTCCGTTATCAGTCTTAAGTGTAGTTAAGTAGCGTATGGAATTTTTAAAAAAATCTGAGAAGGAAGCTTCATTATTGAAAGACAATGGCTTTCCCCAAGTAGCGTTCGAAAAGATATTTCTGGAATTGAGCGCATCAAACGCATAATTAATGTTTCTGCAAAAACACTTGTGCTCAAAACTTCTACAGGCAGTCTGACTTTCATAATTTCCCGTCGGAAATGTATGTGCCTTTTTGTCAATTTGTTAGCAGCATATAGGCCTTCTTGTAACAAGCTTATTAAAGAAATCCCATTTAATTTTCCGCCCTTCTTCGTCTAAAAGTATACACCAATCGGAAAGAGTATTTCTGACAAGTTTCACCATGTGACAAGGGTCTAGTATTATATGGACACGTTCATTGTTCACAGGATGTCGAAACCAGGGTTGTGCATCAGAATATCTTAAATTGTCCCCAATTTTGATGCAACAGCAAAATTTGTTGCAGTTCCATCAAATGTCATAGAGTTTTCTGCCCCTCCATGCTGTTTGGGTTGCATATCATCTTGACCACACCTTGCACTCGCCACGCGTAGTCTGGAGGAGTAAGTCTATGGGTTAGAAATCTGAAGTGTTGATAAATACAAGAACACGAAATCCTAGTATAGTTTCTTGTCTGGAAAAGGTTCTGGGTTCACATCTTGATCATCGTATTGGCTTACTTAAGAAGATGGCGATTTTAGCCGTCTTGTTGCCTAACGGTACTCAAAAGTACCATATTATTTAAACAAATTCAGATTAATTTAGAAGAGGGTGAATTTCTACTTGTTCAAACTTAGACCTTTTATTCTAAGACTAAATGAAATCTTTGAGATGTTAGATTTCGATACGATGGAATTATCCGTAGATGAGTCAATGATAGCAGTCAAAGGTTGATCATCGATCAAACAATACAACCCCATGAAACCCATCAAAAGGGGTTGTAAGGTATGAGTACTTACTGACCAGAAAGGTTATATTTTGCGATTCGATATGTATCCAGCGAAAAATGGAACTACGAATGAAGAATGGAAAGACTATGGGTTAGGAGAAAAAATTGTGTTATCTCTGTCCAAAAAGAGTGATCTACTGCGATAATTTTATTTCTTCTCTACCTTTTGTAGAGCAAACAAGAAATTTATTCAAAAAAAATTAATATCTGATAAGCAAACGACCCGAGGTGATTATGATTACGGATACAGTTCACAGAATATAGAGTTTTCAAGTGGAAAGACAACAAAGTGGTTCACTTTATCTCAAATCTTCACGGTAATACCGAAGATGACGTTTCAAGAAAGCAAAAAGATGGTTCTTCAGTGGAAGTCTCTTGCCCTAGCGTTGTAAAGGATTACAACAAATTTATAAGCGGAGTTAAGCATGCCGATAGACTTAGGCCCACTTTTACCATCCTCCTGATAAACTATCTAGACTATCTAGAGGATAGTTGCCATGGTTACGGCGATTTTAAGCGCTCTCATTGGCTAAGAACTGGATTTATCTATCGGATAAATTTATCAGGAGGTGGTAAAAGTGGGCCTTAGACAGTGTTACGCAGTGGCATGACGATCTAAGAAATGGTGGCATAAAATTTTTTATTGTCAACCTTTTGCTGGAATTTTGGCGATATGTTGCACTTGAGCTAATGACGTATAAAACGAAAAGTGGCAAGAATTCGAAGAAAAGGACATATAATGAATCCACGATAACGAACAAACGAAGGAAAACCAAATATTCTACACCACGTGATATTCGTCTTTCAAATTGAAGATCACACTGGGTGAAATACGTCAAGGAAAGAGGAAGATGCGAGCTATGTAGTTTTGAACATATTCAATGTAGACCTCATTCAAAATGTGGCATGTGTAATGTTTTCTTATGTTGTAACGCACAAAAAAACTGTATGGCAAAATATTATTCTGTAGAAATTTTAATTTCTCAACAACTGCATCAAAGAAAACTTTCTTACATCTTCCATTAGAATTTATTTCTTCAATACCTTTTATTTCCTCATTATCCACATTTCGTAGATATTTATTTATAACATCTATGAATAAAAATACATTGTAAAAAAATATAAAGATATAACAGCAAATAAGACATTTACAATCATATAACTTACCTTCATTTCGCTCTTTGTTACTTAATAATTACTTGTACACGTCTGTGTCTTCTTTATATTAGCAAACAAACTTATAAAAATCAAGGGAAACTAACCAAATTGTTATGCAACAGAAATATGGGGAAGATGTGCAACTTTTAAAGCAGCACAAAACTCAAATAATAATCAGCATAAAAAGGATTATGAACTATTTAATGCAAAATTTGTGTTCCAAATGTATTTGAATACCTGGTAAGGAACTTACATGAAGAAAATCATTTTATCTTGTTAGATAATATTTATCTGATGAATAACAATCTGTATCTTTATTGGAATGTGAAGAAATCCGTTGTTGATTGACGATAAAATTAATTTAATTATCTTAGAAAAAAGTTAATTACATTAATACAATCATTATAAACATTAATGGAAGGTTTAGCAAGATATAATCAGTAATAAATAACCTTTGGATTTTGATATTATCCTTTTCCCCTTGGTTACCACACAAACACAACATAAAATTCACATGTTATCAACTTAGTTTTAACAGGTTATAAACTTAAATTTTCCATATATGCAAGGAAATAAGTAAAAACGTAATTTGAATAGATATATTATAATATGATTGAGTGTGATTCAAGTAGTTAGTTAGAAAAAAAAAAGAAAGTTAGCTAAAGTATTTAATTGATGCCCTAATGAACTCCCAGTATATTGATAAATATATCACATTGACCTTGAATGAATTGTCATGTAAAGCGAAAAAATACCTTATCTGTTAAGTAATTTTGAGTGTACTTAATAAGATTTTTTAAACGAAATTTATTGTTACAAAAACGAATTGACAGCATTGTTTTAATTAAATTTAATGTAATGTTAGTCACCTGTATGAAGGTGTTCAAAACAAAAGCTTTGAAACAAAACACAACACAACACACTAGAAGAAAAAAACGAAACTGCAATGAAACATACCTTCAAGAGACTTGACACAGCAGTTTTATAAAGAAACAGTGTTGAGATGATATTGAGAGGAATGTTATCTATTTGTGCTTGGTATTTAGGTCGCAAAAACGGATCTACTTTCTATATTAAAATGTCACACCATTTTTTTTTAATTTCTTTCTTTTCAATACACAATTCTTAAAGATACTTACAATAAAATGTGTATGATGAACGTCGGGGCCACTAAACACTCTGTACGCAGATGTGGTGGTTGTTATTACTGGGTGTTGGTGGTGGTAGAGATTGGTGGTTTAATTAGCGTCCTAGTTCTTTACATTTGTATCCACTATCTTGGCGAATCCATTCCGTCGAATATTAATCGCGCGTTTCAGGAATCGGTTCGCGGATATATTCGGACGTTGATATCACCGACAACCGATTTGTGTATATTTATTTTTAGCAAAACGATCTAAGTGTCAGTGGGACTGCGCTGGCCGCGTTCCCACCTGAAAACTGACGAATTCTCGTTACATCGTAACTGTACGAATACAATAAAATTATGTAAACAGAAACGTCACCGTAGCGGCCATGTTGAATATTTATCAAGGTGAATGTAATCAGATAAAGTGATATAATGGGGAAAGTGCTTTGGTAATGTGTATTATGTTCTTCACTTAGGCAACCCAACATACATTAATCCCCACTTCATGTATCAAAAGATTTCAATTTACTTCTCAATTTAATAAAGCATCAATTTTTTAATAACAACCCACAAAAACAATTCTTAAATCTAATTCATTACTAATATATAAAAGTAAAAACCAATAATCAAACTTAGAAATCGCATTAAGCGCCATCTTTGTTTCAACTCACACACCATTTTTTTCTTTTGATATATGACAGTTAAGTTAACCTCACATTTCTTACCGGTAAATATAATGATAACAATTTAAACTATTAGTTATTCGTATTCCGTGTTAATATGGGGTTATTAACGGATCCCAGTGCGGGGCAAAGTGCCATAGTGAAATTATTAACCAAAATTTATCCGGCATTATGTGTAATGCTTTACATTGGAGGTGTAATTTATTTCGGGTGTCTCGCCCACAGGAAATTTAACGGGGGCACTTATTTTTCCGAAAACGCCCTACTTCCCGGATTGGTTAAGTCGGAATTCCACGATGATTCGTTTGCTGTTCAATATCACCGTGAATTATTGGATGAGATGGAAACACATCAAAATTCAATTCCGTACTCGTGGTTATTGGCTAAATTTCGACAACTTGGTTTGGATGCTTATACGCAAAATTTTACTTTGAATTATCCATTGGGAAATCAACAGGTAATATCATTTTCATGCAAATGTTTGTTACTTATTAATTTAAATTATTTCAGTCTTTTAGTGGTAAAAATGTTTATGGTATTCTAAGAGCACCAAGAGCAGGGAGCACGGAAGCATTGGTCTTGAGTGTTCCATATAGACCACCAACAAGTGTTCATGAAACCACTGCCGCCTCAATTAGTATTATGATGGCTTTTGCAAGATTTGCAAACAGTAATTCTTTTTTATTTTTATTGCTTGTTATATCTTTTATGAATGCAACTTAAAATCACTTAATATTTTGCTGAGAATTAGAATATGACAGCTTATGTACTAATTTATCTTTATTATTTAAGGAGAAAAATATTGGGCTAAAGACATCATATTTCTAGTAACTGAACATGAACAGTTAGGGATGCAAGCTTGGTTAGAGGCTTATCATGGTGTTAGTTGTGGTAAAGAAGGCGTTCTTATTGCTGGGGATATGAAAGGAAGAGCTGGTGCTATTCAAGCAGCAATAAATTTGGAATTTCATGCACCACAAATATGTAAGTAGAAATATTTCCTTATATACCAAGAATTTCATATAACTTGCAATATACAGTGTGTCCATAAAGTAGCGGATATAGGCGATAAAATCATTTAAACGGTTTATGAAAAAATCGCTTAAACGGGTCTAAAGATTTCAATTTTTTGCAATTTTTTGGTGTAGATTTCAATTTTGTTCCGCCATTTTTAAACGAGTTATGACGTCATCGATATTTTTTTCAAATGGCAATCCCCCATTTTTATTGTGGAATATGAAAGGGGATGTTTTTTTTAAACCAGTACAGTCAATATTAATATTGGTTACATAAGAAAATTTTCGAGAAAAATTGCTTTAAAATTTACCTACTTCAAATTTGTTGACAGTGTTGAATCACTTCATATAAATCTGGTCATTCGACTTCGTATATAAATTTCCGATATTTTTCATCGCCTTGCCAAATACGGCGTTGTCCATTAATTTGAATAAGTAAATTTTTCTCGAAGTCATTAATTGCCACGGTTCTAAATTTAGTGTTTAAATCTATACAGGTGTCCCGTATCTTCCGCATCAGAGCATGATACGGTTGTAGGATACATTATTTTGAAGCGATCTTTCTAATAAAATGTTTTCGAAATGTTTATAATAACCGCACGGGAAGAGTTTAAAGTTATCCGCTATTGTCCAATAGCGGACGACTTTGATTCACCGAAAAAGTTTATTTCTCTTTCCGTGTCGAATCTATTGGTGAGTACACGTGGGAAACGAGTTATGCTCAGCTTTACAATACATGTTCGTCTGTTTTGCTTTTTAACAAAACCCGAAAATTCTTAAACTTGTACACAAAAAAAAGAAACTCGTCTAGAGAGGAAACACAATACAAGAAAACATAAATGAAAGAATAAACAAATCTCTTCTTTTAATAAAGATAGACTTAAAATTAACAAAAACTGCTTAGCTCATTAGTATGGTAAGCCTAGCTGTGACTAAATTTAAAAAGCATGGACATCTTCGAGATTTCTTGAAGTTTGGCATGAAGTTGGCATGACCAAATGTTTCAGGGGAGGTTCAACAAAAGGTGGTTCTGACTGGGCAGGGAAACCCTTTTGTTACTTTCAGGGGTATTGGGTCCCATTTATACATTAGTAAATCAACAGTTCATGAAACTTTAGAAACCGCAAAATATTATTCCTATAAAGTAAACCTCATTTACGAGCAATGAGTCGTAGTTTTTCCAACAACAATTTTGTTACGATGACAAAGACTTTGTCGAAAACATATTTTTTCCGACGAGGGAATATTCACATTGAGTGGACAAGTAAATAGACAAAATTATCGGTATTGGGCTACCCAAAATCCACATAGGACAAGAAAGTCGCACACCCAATATCATGCATTAACGAAGTCAACTACTTACTAAATCAGTTTTTGTTACTCATGGCTACTGCTATTTTTATAATGTCAAGCAAATTTGAAGAAGTTAATCTTTAAAGTAATTTTTCTCGAAAATTTTCTTATGTACTTAAGCAATATTAATATTTGGTTAATTATATTACTATTTTTTATATAGTTATTTTATATGGTTATTTTTTTATACTCTTTCATCTTCCGCAATAAAAATGGAGGATTGCCATTTGAAAAAAAATATCGATGACATCATAACTCGTTTAAAAATGGCGGAAAAGTAGTAGTTACGAAACTACTATGCACTTGCACTGTCCCACATAAAATGCAACATAGCTTAATAGTACGGGCATTAAGTAGTTTTGCAAAGGAAAAGTTTTGCTTGGAAAAGGTGATGTCCTTATGATAATCCTGAGTTTTCAGCTGTCATAAGAGACGCGCGGCTAAACTCAAATGTTTCTAGTTCTAGTTCTTAGTGTTAGTTATAGTTTTACACTAGCACTATTACTATGTAGAATTAACACTATATCTAGAACTAGAATCATTCGGATTTAGCCGCACGTCTCTAAAGACGGCTAAACCCGAATGATTCTAGTTCTAGGTTTTGTGTTAGTTCTAGTGATAGTGCTAGTGCAATACTAGAACTAACACTAGACGTAGACTAGAAACATTTGGATTTAGCTGCACGTCTCGTGTTAGTTCTAGTAACAGTGGTAGGTAGCGTTAGTTAGCATAAGATATCACTATGTTGCGTATTTTTATTACACTACTACTTTGTTTTACACTAGCACTACTACTATGTAGAATTAACACTATACCTAAAACTAGAATCATTCGGATTTAGCCGCACGTCTCTAAAGACGGCTAAACCCGAATGATTCTAGTTCTAGGTATAGTGTTAGTTCTAGTTTTACACTTGCACTGTCATTAGAACTAACACTAGACTTGGAACTAGAAACATTGGGGTTTAGACACAACATGTCTCTCAAAACGGCTAAACACGAATGATTCTAGTTCTAGATCTTGTGTTAGTTCTAGTGATAGTGCTAGTGTAAAACTAGAACTAACACTAGATCGAGAACTAGAAATATTCGGATATAGCCGCACGTCTCTCAAGACGGCTAAACTCAAATGTTTCTGGTTCTAGGTCTAGTGTTAGTTATAGTTTTATACTAGCACTATTACTATGTAGAATTAACACTATACCTAGAACTAGAATCATTCGGATTTAGCCGCACGTCTCTAAAGACGGCTAAATCCGAATGATTCTAGTTCTAGGTTTTGTGTTAGTTTTAGTGATAGTGCTAGTGCAATACTAGAACTAACACTAGATCGTGAACTAGAAACATTTGGATTTAGCTGCACGTCTCTAAAGACTGCTAAACCCGAATGATTCTAGTTCTAGGTATAGTGTTAGTTCTAGTTTTACACTTGCACTGTCATTAGAACTAACACTAGACTTGGAACTAGAAACATTTGGATTTAGCTGCACGTCTCTAAAGACTGCTAAACCCGAATGATTCTAGTTCTAGGTATAGTGTTAGTTCTAGTTTTACACTTGCACTGTCATTAGAACTAACACTAGACTTGGAACTAGAAACATTGGGGTTTAGACACATGTCTCTCAAAACGGTTAAACACGAATGATTCTAGTTCTAGATCCTGTGTTAGTTCTAGTGATAGTGCTAGTGTAAAACTAGAACTAACACTAGATCGAGAGTTTCGGGTTCAGCCGTGCGTCTACAGACGCACGGCTAAACCCGAATATTTCTAGTTCTAGGTCTAGTGTTAGTTCTAGTTTTATTTGTTATTCAGTGCTAGATTGTTGTACATTTTTTTTGAACTTAAAGTAGAAGTAACATCAGACCGAGAACTAGAAACATTCTGATTTAGCCGCACGTCTCTCAAGACGGCTAAATCCGAATGATTCTAGTTCTAGGTCTTGTGTTAATTCTAGTGATAGTGCAAAACTCGAACTAACACAAGACCAAGCACAAAAAACATTCGGATTTAGCCATGCGTTTTTAAACGAATGTTTCTAGTTCTAGGTCTAGTGTGAGTTCTAGTTTTAGTCCAATAAAAATATGCAACATAGTGATATCTTACGTTAACTACCTCTGCTTACCACTGTCACTAGAACTAACATTAGACCTAGACCAAGAAACATTCAGACATGTTGCATTTTATGTGGGACAGACCAAGTAAATATGCCCTGGTTTCTATGGAAATATATTTTTATACAGCCTGATTCAGAGTAAGCGCCTTATTTTTTTTTAGCCACACTATGGGTACTACTTTCAAAATATTTGGCAGTAATATGTTTTGGGTCATTCTCTACACGATGGTGATGCCACATTTTCCATTGGAAGAATTATTTCAAAATGTCAACTTTTTTTTTAAATGGAATGCCAAAATTTTTTTTTTATATTGAGGTCTTAAAAACATTCTTTATACGATAGTATTTTGTTTTTCTTAAAAATTCATTTCTTTCCCCATCAAAAAGCACACATTTTAACCTAGTAGCGCATGAATGTTTTACACTCGATGTTATTTTTGTCCAAATATCAAGTAGTGCTAGACACAAAAGAAACAATTAAACTTTATTTTGTAATAAACATCTACTTATTTATTTATTTTGACAAAAATAACATCGAGTGTAAAACATTCATGCGCTACTATACTCTGTTTTTAAACCAGGAGGAGTAAACGCGAAAGTCAGATTTACACTAGGAAAAATCACCAGAAAATATCACTAGATATTTTGGCGGTAAATTTAAATTAATAATTATTATTATTTATTTATTTACTTATTATTGTATTTATTTTCGTTTGTTATCGTCAACACTAAACATACAAATTAACATTGAAGTTATGAGTGTATTTATTTCAAAATATAATAAAGAAGGGTTTAAGAACACAAAATTTACAATAATGACACGAAACTGTCGAATTGTCAATAACCTAACCTTCAAATTCAAAATTGCCTGTGTGTGAACCTTCCTCGCATTCAACCAATCACGTGCAAGGTCAATCTGGTGACAAAT